TTTCACAAATATATGTAGTTGCTTAAGTGCTTTCTGCTGGGAAGGCATTGCAATCTTGTTTGGTCAAACCATTTACTTCTTTGTCATTAAGTTGTGCTGTTTTTATTTATACCAAAAGTCGTCACAGTTTTTCTCAGAAAGTGAACTCCTGGACTAGAAATATTTTAGCAGTCAGTTTTAGGTTCAGCTAAAGAACTGGAAACCTACCTCTACCCCAGCTGCAGCCAACAGCCACCGGATGGGCTCCATCCTGCCCCGAAAATCAAAGTAGTGCAGCACGGGCTTCCCCGCCATCCTGGTGGCCTCTTGGGGTCACTAAATCTGAGAAGGAAGGAAGGAAGAAGTGAACCGTACTTCAGGGTTATGGTTACGGAGGTGACAGCACAGGAGGAGGTCTCTCGTCAAGGAATCGTTGCAGAGGTACCAGGAAGCCCTTTCTCCAAAATTCTTACCCAGCACTGATCACCTTCTTGAAATTGCACCAAACTTGGACAGGTCGTGACTCTGCACATTTTTATATGGAAACAGAACAACTTGGTCACACTCTAGGAAAGGCTCTGCAAGCCTGGAAAGGGCGCTAGAAATCTCAGAACATCTGTGACAAGAGAAGGTGGCGGGAGCACAGGCCCTCCCTGACTCCAGGGCTCCTGGACCAATTTGTTCAGAAACACTGAGCAGGCCTTAGTGCGCTCTGATGCCTGTCAACACCTAAATTAATTTTATGGATGAGCATACTTTTTCTTCCTGAGATTCTATATTCCTGCCCCTGCTTTGAATTTCTTTATAATTGATAAAAGAACTGATTGCTACATTGTCTTTATCTTTGTCATTACAAGGACAGTAATTAACATAAATTCAATTTTTGTCACACAATAAGAATTTTTTTCCTTTTCATCACTACACCATAAAAATTGCTTGATAAGAGAACTAGCCAGACATGGTGGTGCATGCCTGTAAACCTGTTACACAGGAAGCTGAGGCATGAAGTTGCTTGAGTTTGAGGCCAGCCGGGGCAACATAGTGAGCTCAAGACCAGCCAGAAGTACAAAGGGAGACTCTGTCTCAAAGAAAGAGAAAATTAAGACAGAATCTTTCCTGTGCTAAAGTTCTAAGTGAAGACCTTCATACCTGTACAGAGTCCAGGATGTAGAAAGCTGCGTTCCTGTCACTCTTATTTGACACTAAAAGCTTAGAGCTTCGCTGTAACAGTATATTTACAAAATCTGAGTCATCTTACTAGGGCATAAAACCAATACCTTAGGATCCCAGTTTAATCTAAGAAATAGGTTTAGTTCCATTTAACTTGTTTTCCTCAAAGAATCACATATGTAGACAAACTTGCAAGTTTGAGACTAAACACAATCTCTCTGATTTCACTACCATTGAAAAAGGAAGGAGTAACAAAAGAAGAAAAACAGGAGAAAAGGAAGACAAAGGACCAGTAGGAGATGGAGGGCAGGAGGAAGAACAGATGAAGAGAAGGAGAAAGAGAACTAGCCTACCACTAGCTGGCCAGTGACAAGGTGATGCCCGGGAGCCTCAGCCCCTGCATGTGGAGTCAGCCATAGAAGTGAATGTGCAGATTCGGGTTGGCAGGCGCACACGATTGGATTTCAAGTCGAGCACTTGGCTGCATGAGGACCCCCACCCATACCCTCCTTCTAGTCCTGGCTAGAGTGCTTCTCCACACACGTCACCCAAACACAAACCCTGGACGCCTGCACGCAGACTCCTGCAGCAGTGACGCCAAGGCCACCTGTGTAACACACAGCACAGCTTCCCATGAGCCCTGAGCACCCCAGGGGCCACCTGGGTGTAGCCTGACTTTGCTCCTGTCGTCAACTATTCTGCCTTCACTTTGTAAACTCTTCACTGGGGGGACTCAGAGAACAATATTCAAGGCTTGAATCGTCCCCCTGAGAACCCAGAGAAGGCAGAAGACCCTGAAGCACTCTCAGAAAGTGTCACCTATTTTACTGTAAAACAGACAGTGGACATTAATGAAGATAGAGAAGCGACACTGACCTGAGCCTGGCCCCAGCTGCTCTCCTGTCAGCAGCTGAAGATTACAGCGGTGCTTGCTTAATGCCGCAGCCTTCAGCAGAGGGCTGGTCCAGCAGGGATAGCCACTCCCTCTGCTTTCAGGATCCAGAGTCCAAGGTGAATGAGAACAAAATAACAAGCCATTAATGTTTCACTTCAAGATTATCTATGAGTTCTCTGAAAAGCATCTCAAGGTCATCCAGTTGCCCCCGAAAGGTCACGAGGCTTTATTTCTTTATGCCACGTAAGTTTGGGGACAATGCCAACTTCCTGTGGAGAAGGAAGACTGTGTGATAGAAAGGGGTCAAGAAAGAGGTCTTGGGAGAGGACATGTGAGATAACAAGGCACATTTGTTTTGTTGTTGTTGTTGTTGTTGTTTGAGTCTCAGCTTCATTTTCTTTTTTTCCCCACAATTTTATTGAGAAACAAATAGCAATGAGACAGTTTCAAACCAAATTTGTAGGACAGTTTCAATAATTAACACATTGCATACATACTTCCTAGTGGTTAATTGCTGTACAAGATGCAGACATGATATCCTATTTACAAACACTATTAGAACAAATCTCTCTATTCATTAAGAGAATGCAACTCTATATCTATCTTAACTACCTTGAATGCACAGATACAAAATGAGCATTCATCTGTATCCCCTTTGACACTAACAAAGGTTCTACAATCTGAGGTACAGGATCTCAGGATAAATCCTGAGGGGATTTCACTGACCTTATCAGACCAAAAGCTACAACTTATGTTGAATAGGTCCTGCTTTACCTTGGTCTTAACCATCCAACAGAAAAGTATAAAAACGGAGTATAAGAAGTAAAGCCATGCTGTTATGTTGAGCTGTAGGGGACTCAGGTCAACAATTTCTGACATTGCCAGTCAAGCGGAAGACCCAATACCATTATGGGCTACTGGACTCTTTTAGAATATTTTCCTGTGTTCACACACCTATAATATTCAAATAACAGAACTTAACAATAAAAGGGGATACAGACAAGGCACATTTGTAAAACAGGTTAAGTTACGGACACAGCTGCTTGACTGTCCAGGCGGTAGGAGCCCGGGCAGTGTCCTGGCCTGCGTGGGAGCCCTCCCTGCCTAAGCTCGAGAACCGCACAGTCCTGTGTTGTGCTGCACCGCTGCCTCTCGGGCCTGAGGCTTGTGTGCGCGGCGTCCTCTGCCAGGACCCCACCCCCGCCCTCCCATCCCTCCACTCCCCTTACCATGCTGCTTTGCTCCTGGCAATAGCCTGACTTTCCCTTTGAACTGAAGCCAGGTGAGGCCACCTTTGCCCACAGCCGCAAACAACGCCTGAAGCAAGTCTAACAGTTCATTTCATTTTCTAAATAGTGACTGTCTTCTAAACTTTTTGAAATTACCGAGGCTACAGAAAACTTACAGAGCTAGTAGGGTTCAAGTATCTCTCTCCAAGCATCCTTTAGTGGAAATATTCTACGTAACCTGAGCGCAGTGCTCAAAGCAAGGGGATTCACACAGCTTTATTATCAGAGAACTACCGCATCCGGCTTAGATTTCAACAAGGTTTCACACAAGCCGGCTTTTGTAGTGCAGAATACCCTCCCAGCACTGCTTCCTGGCCGTGTGGGCTTCGTCTCCTCACTCCGTGGCAGGTCCTGGCACTAGACCTGCCTTCTACGATCCGGGCACTTTGGAGCCTCGTGGTCAGTTATTGTATGGGCAATGCTCAGCCGGAGGCTGCCTGAGATTTTCTCCTGATGTATGAAAGTTGTACATTTTTTGGCAAAATATCCCGGAAGACGGGCTGCCCCTTTCTTAATGTGTGATATCCCAACACAGCATCATATTCCAGACACGATATGCTCCACTACTGGTCACGTTAGCCTCGTCCCTTCCTTACAGTTACGTCTGCCAGGCTTCTCAGAGGCTACCGTTTACCATTCTGGAATTAATACATTCCTTGTGGAGATCTTTCGTGACCGTGAAATTGTCCCCCTTGTGAATAGACTTCTGCTCACTAATCTTACCATCTACCCTAGACCTGGCCCAGGGCCAATCCTCCCACGGCGTTCATCTGCCACCGATGTCCCTTTCCTCATTGTTCCCGCGTCTAAAGGAGGATTCTCTAAGCAGAGCTGTCGTGTACCCCTTATTTGCTCATTTGGTTTTTTTCAACCATTTGCTTACACTAGGAGAGACGTAGGAGTCCTTCCTTCTCAACGTTGCAGGATGTCCTTTGATGGCCAAATTCTTCCTCTGAGCTCCTTCATGGTGGCCTCTGTGTCCTGTATGGCAAGCCCCCTCCACGTGATCATTTCCTGATAGTTTCTTTAGTGAAGAGTTTGCCTCTACATCTCCATTTCTCTGTCCCAGCTCTGCTTTCTCCCACTTCTCCAATAATTCTCGTGCCCATTTTCCAGGGGGAAGTACTCGAACCTAGGACCTGGGCTCTGGGTGCAGCCCCTGCTTCCGCAGCTCACAGCTTCTAGGCCCTTGTAGTGGGAAATGTGTATTCACCCCTCACAGGCAGCTTCTCTACTGACTTCTGCACCTGGCTGCACCATTGCTGACGACAAATGCTGAGTTCACACTGACACCAGCTTCTTCAGTTGAATAGCTTTGTTTGGTTCCTACATAAACTTGTTTCTCTGACAAATGAGAAAAGTGACTGTGATATCTAAAACTTACAGCACTCATGAAAGAATAGTAGGACTGCTGTGATGTGCCACTGTGCGAACCAGCTCTGTTAGGGAGTATAGAACTTTCCTTCGCATCCTGCACATTTACATCCTGAGCCAGACACCAAGTCCAACACTCTCTGTCCCCCTGAATCCTTTATCCGACTGAGCTTCTCACTGCCTTCCTATTTGCTGTCACTCACCTGGGATGCTGCTGGGCTTTAGGGTTGCAGCAGTGCATGTGGGCTGGGGGCTGCCTCACGTCCCGGCTCCTTTTAGTGAAGTATATGCTATGTAGCACCAGACTGTACCTGGTCTAAGACTCCGAACTGATAAAACACTGTCTTCGCCCGCTGAGGGGTCATCCCTCCTGTCCCATCCTTATTCCTTCTTTCCATACACTTCTTTCCTCCCTTTGTAAGGATATGGCAGCAGGAATTTCTAACTTCCCCAGTGTTGGTCTGGCATGGGGTGTATCTCCTTGTGATGTCCTTTTACCTGCATGAAGATCAGCGTGCGTCACACTCCCTCCCACCTCCTGTGCAGCAGTTACTTGTGCCGCATGATCAATCACCAGGATCATCTCAACGTTCACAAAGAAGACCCTGCTCCTTCATCAACTGCACGGTGCTTCATTGTTTGGATGATAGTTTCCAGCTCCCCTGCTTGTTCAGAGCAAGGAGACGGTCTCCAGTATTTTAGAATTGAAAACCATGCTGTCATGAGCATCTCTGTGCATGAGCAATCATGTGATTCTAGAAGTGTGCAATCCTGTGTTTCTTCACACAGTAAGTGTGTGCTTGCAGACGTAACTGCACAATTCCACTCTGTCACCAACATCATGTCACTGGCAAATCTCATCACACAACTGTAGTACAAATTTTCTCAGTGGAAAGATAGAGCGCTTCCAGCTGGCTTACTTCATCAGCACTCAAGCAGGTCCACAGAGTGCATTTCAGGCATCTGAAAAAAAGCATCTTATGGCAATGATGGAAAAGGCAGAGCCAGGCCCTTGCAGAACCTGAGAGGAGGCTCAGGGCCCAGGCCTGCAGTCAGGTCCTGCAGGAGATGCACCTGAGCACTGATGCAACATTGTCCTGTGATATGTGGGATGCACAGCAGGTCCGGCACAGGGACAGCCTCTCAGGGCCATGAAGGAGACACCTGGGCCAGCAGATGCTTTGAGAACCCTTCTGGGTCCAGCTGGGAATCTGAAGAGAGGCACCTGCTTCCTGGTAAGTAGTTTGGGAGGGGCATAGAGTGGTGTTATGGTTTGTGTGTGTTTGTCCCCCCAAAGCCTCATGAAGTTATTGAGGTGCAGTTCTATAGTTTCTGATTAATTCATGATTCAAGTCTGGGATTATGGGTCTGAGTACTGCTCAGATTATGGATGTGAGTGCCACACCCAACCTCAGGCAGATACCCTGAATGTAACATAAGAGAGACAGACTTGCTCTCTCTAACCATTGTTGCTGAGACTCCTGTTTTGCTCTCTGCTCTTTACCACTGGCATGAAAGGTTGCTCTCTGCCATGTGCAATTCTGCTTTGGAGCCAGCTGAGTATGGACTGAAACCTCCAGTAACTGTGAGATAGTAAACATCTCCTTCCATCATTTTGAGGGTTGGGTATTTGTCCCAGCAATGAGAGAAGAGTAACTGAGACAGAATTTTGTACCAGACAAGTGAGGTCATTCCTGTTACTAAACCTGCCTGCATGGATTACAAGTTTTTGGGAATGGTTAATGGAAAGATATAGGAAAGGTTCAGAGATGTTGCCTACAAGAGAAGTGCTAGAATTGTTTCAGCTGTTCTGTATGGGAGATTCTGGTCAGAGCTCAGAAGACCAGAAGGCTGATAGAAAGCCTGCCTGTAAAGATCAGGCTGGGGAAGTTTCTGCTGAGATGAAAGACTGCAGTGCTTGTTGGACTCCAGATGATTTGAGTTATAGCATGGCAGAAAGTTTGTCTGCATTTTGCTTGTGTCCAGAGACTTTGCCTGAAACTGAAAATAAGTACCATGGGCTGATTAATCTTTCAAATGAAATTTCAAAGCAACCAAATACTGAGGCAGTGGCATGACTATTGTTGGTATGTTTTAGTCAGATTTATGTTGAGAATCAAGAGCAAAAAGCCTAGCAGGATGATTTAACATGTTGTGAGCTTGGCCGGAGAGGAAGCTCCAATAAAGCTGTGGAATGCAAAATACAGCTGAGTGTAGACCTTTCCCTAAAATAAAAAATAAAAAATAAACCAGAAGCAAAATAGAACTGCGAGGATCTCCATTGCTGGGAAGGAAGAAGAGAATGGAAAGGCTGGCCTGAGGGCATCACAGGAGGCAGCAGGTCTCCACCCTCTGCAGCATCAGAACTGCAAGGGTGAGGGACTTTGCCTTGGGGAAAAAGCCACAGAACCCCTTGTTCCAGAATGGCGGCGGAAGCCACACCAGGTTC